TGCCTAGAGTAATGACGATGATTGGACAAATATACCTGCAGTGTAGGGTTGACATGTTGGTGTTTCAATGGTGATGCAACCATACAGGGGCTTGTTTCAATTCCTTTTATACTTTCAAACCAGCAACCCTACAGGGGCTTGTTTGAATTCATTTCATAGGTTCAAATCCAACGGAAGCTCAACCCTACACTAAATAATTTTTTAAATTTTTTTGTTCTAGTAATTATTTCTTTTCAGTATCTGATACTCCAACTGGTTTAACTGCTACAAGATTAAGTACTGGTTTAGCTCATGTAAGACTCTCCTGGTCTACTGTATCAGGAGCTACTGGTTATGAGGTCTACTATCAACTCTTTAGTAATACTCCTGTTAGTATATACAACACTAGTAATACAACAATCAATATAACATCAGGATTATCTCAAGGAAATACCTACACTTTTTATGTAGTATCCTATGGATCAGATTCTCTACCTAGTGGTAATGCTTCGGTTATGTTAACTATTAGTAAGTTATTATTAAAATAATGAAAATGCACCTGTATTATTAATAATTTTAGGCAATCCAGTTGTTGATGATTTTATGGCTACATTAGTTACAAGTACTTCCATTACATTAAAATGGAGTCCACCAACTGCTGTAGTACCAATTAGTTATAATATTAATAGGAGATGTAGGAAAGTATGTGAATCATCAGTCAATAGTAATAATGAAACATTAGTTTCATCACCACATACTTCAACTGGTATACCTCCTTACAGTCAATGTGGCTTTGATCTTATTGGAATATATGGAGCTAAGATAGTTTATTTGACTACTAATTATTTAACTACTACACTTTCAACTGGTAAGAAAGCAATTATTAATCTTATTCAGTATTCCTTTTTTTTCTATAGCCCCTACTGCACCAGTGGATGATATTATATTCTCATCAGTAGAGTCAGTGTCAATGACTGTCTCATGGGATGAAGTACCTTGCAATGGAAGGAATGGACCAATCACTGGATACTACCTCACATACACTAACATCACTTCAAACACTAGTTATACTGTTAATATCACTGGAGGAGACAACAGAATGTATAATCTCACAGGATTAATACCATATACTAACTATACTGTGAGTATAATACCTTATAATTATAATATAAATGGACCAGCTAGACATGAAATACAATTAATTGCTGAATCAAGTAAGTCGATGAGATATTGATCAGTTTAACATGATCTTAACACAGTTTCTGGTGTGATATCTGATCTGATATACACAAGAGCACTAACCGAGATCAGTATCTCATGGAATCCTCCTACAATACCTAATGGTATCATTACAGTATATGAGATAAGATATAGAGAGTCTACCAGTACTGGTCCATACAATATAACTAACACTACTAACACTTATTACAGTATAGTAGGATTGATACCTAATGCTATTTATACTATTGGAGTGAGAGCATATACTAGTATTGGACCAGGAGAATGGACTGCAGAAACAATTAACATTGGTAAAGTTACATTTCTTAATTTGAAATACATGTATTTTCTATAATTTCATTCATAGCAAAGGTAGGCAGTTTTACTCTCAAATACCTCAACTCAACTACTGTACAAATGAATTGGCTACCTATTCCAGGGACCAGCTACTATACTATCTATTACAACAGTGGGTATGATGTTGACTCAATGAATGCTAGCAATGAAACAAATGAAGTTATTATACCAGAGTTGTACTCATGCCTTAGCTATTCATTTGAGATGTCAGTGACTATAGAAATAAATGGAATTTATTATGAAGGACCTAGAACTGTACCAACAGGTAAAGTAATACTTTAACTGTCAAATACTAAAATATTATAGTTACAGAGCTACCAACAGTGGACCTCTCTTCCTATTCTTACACAGAAGCAATAAGTAAATGTTTACCATTAATAATAATGTTTACCTTACTGTATGTGGTTTTGGTTTTAATATGTATGTACACAATTAAACAGCAAAATTGATA